CTCCATTGAGGGATCCTCAGTCTGCCTCCCCCACACCTCTTCCCCCCAACAGGCTTACCAGCCAAATGCTGCTCTCCACACTGCTGGGCTGCCCCAATGCATGCTGCAGCTGCATGCATGTATGTGACATTTATTGGTGACATTATCGGCCATGTCAGCCAAAAAAAGCCAATTGCTGATAATGTCAGTGTTGATATGATATAGATCAATGTATCAGTGCACCTCTAGTTACTACTTAACATTTATTATTTATAACTAAACTTTAAAAATAATTATTTGAGTTTACAGAAGCCATTGATTTCTGACTACCTGTAACACACAACTTGTGACTGTTTTTAAAAAGCCTAGGGTTACGTCCCTACTTTCATGAATTATCATTCTAGCCAGCCCTGATGCAAGAAAAAATAAAGGACAAAGATGTTAGTAGTCCAAAAAATAAATGGGGGCTTCTTGTATCATCTGCCACTTATGAGGCAGTCAAAAGAAAGGACAATACACACCTGCAGGCAATGGTATTGAAATGTCATTGAGAAAAGAAGCCCAGGTGCTAGTGGCAAGAGGCCTTATAAACAATGCCTGCTGCCTGGCTTAAGATAAAGAAAGATTTTATTTGCTTTCCATTAGTATCCATAATAGGCTGAATGCTGACTATGCACACAGGAAGGATCTTCCTGTTCACTGTAAATTCTATGGCAAAGGAAAGACTGTACAAGTCTCATTCAATAATATAATCAAGAAGTTTCAGAGAATATAATCCAGAAATATATCTTTTTATATCTATTATTTCCTATAGCAGGGCTGTCCAACTTCTAAGCAGTGAAGGGCCTCACCAGCATGGGTTGAATGGATCCCCATACCTTGTTCCAGAGTGCACCTGCATGAGTGCCTCTCCCCCCCCCACCTCCCCGCCAATGCAACAACCTTGTGTTGATGCTCCCCTGCCACTCCCTTCTCAGCACACACCTGTGTTGGCACCCCTTCCCCACCATACACAGTGGGGCCCTGGTCTTAGTCTCAGAAATCACAACAGGGAAAGGAAGCCTGGAGACTCTGGCTGTCATAGGGGAAGTGGCAGTCAAGCGGTAGCCTGGGGGCCACAACTTAACCCCTGATGGACTGCACACAGCCTGGAGGCTGCCAGCTAGACAGCCCTGTCTTAAAGAAACAATGATCAGACTAAAACTTCAAAAATCACAAGTGTTTTTTTACCACTGTAGTAACTTTCCTTCTATATCACAAGTTTGGTATCAGTGCTGGTGCAGAACAAAAGTCACTGGGTAGAACTGAAAGCATTTTAAACTGTGATTTGTCGAGTCACTCCAATTCAGAGCCATGCAGCCTCTGGACTGAAACAGACTTTGCTGAAGGCAACTAACCTAAGCCACAGCTATTAGAAGGCACATGCATATAAAAAGTGCATGGTCTGCAGCAAGGTGAGGGTTCACATCACCTTAGCTCAGTGAACTGGTAATCAAACAGCTGCTGACATGTCAGAGACTTCACACTAGCCAGGGGCAAATTCAATTTTACTAGTTATCCCCAGATCATGAAACCCAAATACCTTAAAGTATAAAAAAAACTAAAAATTAAAGTTGATATGACTGACTGATGCAAATTACAACCCACTTAATAAGGGTTAAGGCAGCTGCTTTGAAAAAAAATTAATCCAGTCATGTCCTCTAAATGTACATAACTTATTAATAAAATTGTTTTTAAATTGCTTTGCATTTCTGTATTTCTGGCTCTGGTGGGGACCAAAGGACAATACACTAGGTGATAAATTTAGAGTTCAAATATCTGAACTTCTGCAGCTCACTTCTGAGTTCATTCTCAACAAATATACATTTTAGATGTATCCATTGCAATAGGCATTATGTATGGCAGGGTCAGTAATTATTTCAGCTGGCCACTTAATGAGTTTGGGTGATCTGTTGAGGGCCACACATATAAAATCTTTTAAAAGATATCATTTTAAATTATAGATAAAAAAATCATTTATTAAAAACCAACATCTACTATAACATTTTAACTTTATTTCAAAACTGGATTTATGTTTTTTAAGTAGTGTATACAGAGGCAATTGCATAATAACTCAAAATAAAGTTGTACTTTTGTATATTTGGGGGGAAGGGTGTGT